TACTTTTGTCTTCACTCGCGAAGTACGACGACGCTGCTAGAAGACTACATAGGAAAAGATTACAGAAATTATTTTACGAGCCACGATTCTGAAAAATTAACCACTCACAAAAACGTATTTTTATTTCATGCAGAATAGTGCACAGTCCAGCCAGAGGTCTGAGTAAGTAATTTCATCAATGTATTGAAGTCTTCAATCTCACTTGCCTCAAAGAACAAATCAAGTCATGAAGCAAGTCATGAAGGAAAATGAAGCAATAAGAGATCATATCCAATGGTATGAAAACAGAAAGTAACATATTTGATAATTGGCTGCCTCTCCTAATCCCTAGAGTAAGGTATAGAAACGAAATTCAAAACATTTTTGTACTCAATTGATTAACCATACAAAGGAATTTTCGATCAAAGTGCCAATTCAGCCATTTTTAGATGAAGTGCACTGAGCTGTTTCTTATTAACCCTATAACTCCTAGAAGTGATGAACATGAAAGTTCTCCCTATAACATCTTTACATTATCCCGCACACAGCTCATAAGAATATTCAAACTTATCAGGTAGAGGCTGCTAACACCAAATTCTCATAACCAGTTTACAAGAATATGTGAGGCAGCTAGAGGGGAGAATTACCAATCAGATCTTGGGAGTTAAAGGGTTAAGACGTACAATGTTTAAATAGGTTGGTGGTAAGAATTTAGGGAGGCTTTTCCCATAGTTTGCAGGCCATCTCCTAAAAGGGAGGGGAAAGTTATTATTCCCCCTGGCTTATAGTGTAGGAAAGGAAGGTGCTCCAACTATTTCGATAAAAGTATCGTCTTAACATATGATCTTATCTTAATGCTTTCCATTCTTTTGTTTTATTTTGCAGACACCAGACAACTTAAAGAAAAATTCAAGTTTGAGCTTAAAGTAGATTTTTCAAATAACTATGATAGTGCCAGTTCCCTTATAGTTCTAAAATATGTCGTTTATTTCACCGGTAAACCCATAAAAAATTAAAACATTTTTAGTTTAATTTATAAAAGCTGTATTCCGCTCTTTCTATCGGTATAACGTAGTTGTATTACCAATTGGGTTGTTGGACAACCCCAAACGAGATCATTTTTGCTAAAATGACAGTTCGGTAATTTTGTCTTAGAATGGTTCAGTCCTCTCAGCTTTAAAAGCTTTCATGCAGAGAAAGCTCTAAGTGTGCGAAACGGGCCGGGATCAAATAATCACGTGGACTTCACTTAAGCTTATTTAAGTAATTGTTGACCACCACGTGTACAATTAGAGTTCTCAGATGATATGTAATTAAGCAAACATTTAATTTGGGTCTTACCTTTTAAAGAGTATTGCAAAGCTTATTTTTTTCTTACTTGATCAAATTTAAAAAAACTCCTTTTCTACATTTTGACTAAAAGCAGAGTTACCACTATTATTACATGCGGAAAAAATTTATTGAATGCCTTTTAGCTGAAACCGAGGGCAGTTTTTCGTAATCACGAGGGCACATTTGGTGATCAAGAGGGCATGATTACTTGATGCTGATTGAGCCCTTTGGCTGTTTGCAGCAACGATTTATTGACTACAATTTAACTGAATGAAGCCGTGTAACGTTGTTAACTGTATTTTGAAAACAAAATGTTCATTAAATCGATTGGTCAGTTACGTTGGTTTTGACATTTTTGGTGGCATTGAAAGGGCTTCATTGCGCGGACATCGCACGCAAATGCAATTCCTTGAAAACTTTTGCATTTTATGTGATAAACAAGCAATCAAAAGTGCCCCTGGGCAATTAAGTATTATTTTCACTTGTATTTTTAAAGTTTTTCTAAAATTGCTCTTGTTGCGAAGCAACGAGGGCAATTTTGGGAAAACTTTGAAAATTCAAGTGAAATTAATCGTTAATTGCCCTAAGACCCATACGATTACATAAACAAAAGATAGGTAAATAATGAGGAATAGACACCAGCGATTGTGATTTCAGGTGGTTGCCCTTTCAGTGGCCTATCAGTATTAAATATCTGCCAATTTATCTACGCAACTATTAAGTATCTGTTTATCAGTTTCAGAGACCAACGAGAGAGGTACTTCAAAATTGTTTATACCCACTTAAGTTCTGCACGTCGGAGATTTTGCCTCAAAATTCATAGACCACCATCAATTCAACAAGATGCTTTAGATTTTTGAAGAAATCATTTAAGCCTTCCTTAAAGACATATTTGGGCGTGAAAGCGGAAAAACCTCGTATGCTATCCGCTAAAGAAGCTTAGGATATGAGAAACTTTTCAACTTATGATAGGCATAAAAGCTCCCTACGCGTGGTTCTCAACTCTCTCTCACTTCTGTGTATGAAGCACGAGGTACCGGTTTCATTTTAACGACGGAGAATGGTTTTCAGAGCTCCGCGTCGCAAGCATGAGGTGCAGCTTCTTGGTTACTGATTATTACCTGATAATTACCTGTGAGCGTTTCTATTCAAAGAGAAATCTAATTTATCATAACCCTCAATCTGCGACTGAAATTTATGAACCCTCCGTTATTCCAGGTAGGAAAATCAAGACACCTGCAACCTTATTAACATCTTAAGTGTTGACATGTACTCTGTACAGAACGTTAAAATGCTTGCTTGTTTTTATCATCAGTTTGTTCCGTTTGTTTATTTCTGTCTACCCTCTCTTGCTATTAATCAAGTTCCCAAACAATCAACTTATGACCTAATCACAATTCTTTCACTAAACATTGAGGATTCTCTTCTTTAATTTTGAAGGCTTGGACAGAGTATTGAGACTACCACGACAAGTATACCATAAACAAACGTCCACGCCAAAGACTGAAGTACAATGCCATCGGTTAACTTTATCGTCAGTCTAATTAAGATATCGAAAAACTGATCAAAAACAAAGATAATTAAGATAATGATTATTATGAATAGTAATCATGATCACAATAACAACATAGTGATGCTAATGATAACGATGATGATGAATTATGAGTCTCCTAGTCTCACATAACTTTAAGCAGGGGCTGTGCACTCTGCTTTAACGAGACGCAAATCAATAAGAATGAAATTATCAGTAGATATAGAGTTCATCTTGAATCATTCGCAATGACTGCGGCAGAAGTAGCATTAACAGTAGCAGTAGACAGCACCTTCCGCGAGACATTTGAAGCTTCGAGCAGACATCCGAGAAATACCAACGCTGTACTTCATTTTAAAATGACCCAAGACAAAATAAGTAATTTACCCAAGAATTCCTATAACAAATGGTATAACTTCAGTTTATTCCTCTACTTGTTTTCAATCTCCACTCTGAGGTCAGCAGCTTTTAAAATAATTCTCTGTATTCTATCATATTCGTGTACCACAACATCACTAACGGCGCATAAATCTGCCTTGTCTTGCCAAGTGTGCCTAACTTCCCAAGCAGCCCTGCATGGTTAGTTCCCTACGAAAATTTGCACACTAGTACCGCAACACCCTGTCTGATTCCTGAAGGTACTGAACCAGTGTTAATAAAGAAGCCTTGTAAGACACATGGCCATACCCAGCAACCCTTTTCATGCCGTTTCCTGAAATCTTTTGGCACAAGCCCTTGCCAGTGCTCATTTTGTGACCAATTGTTTCAACCTTGTCTCCATAGATTCTTCATCTGTCAACGAGTTGTTACTGATGTTTGGTCCTCTCGACTAGGTTAAAATTTGGAGCTTGTTATCAAGCTGCAGCTAAAGGACGTTTTCCTTACTGAAGTATTCCTTTTTAAGCATTTAGATGAATCTTCTGTGTTGTGTATTTCAATGAACTATCAATGAAGAAATGTCTTCTCCACCAAGGGCGCATTCTTCCATTCATTGTCGACAAGCTATCAACTGCTAACATCTAGAGAGAAAAAACAAACAATTCCTTGCCATCAACTTTGATAAGGATCATCGAGATTAAATTTGCATTTGTGTCAAACCTTCGAGATCATCTTGTACCGAGACTACATCTTCACAAATAATAATAGAAACGTAGAGATGATAGAAAAATAAAAATAATGCTAGCAGAATCACGCCTATTCAGATGGAGGTCTGTTGGCAATTAATAACTAGCTCTCTTGACTTGACCCTAGAATCAACCTTAGCCTTCCGAGCAAAACTCAAAACTGAACAAGGTTATAAAGCACACCTAGAGCTGCCTTATTTTTTCAAGGTCACAATTTGGTCGACCAATCAGATCAAGGTTTTTTTTAGAATCTATTGGAACAATAGAACCACTGATAAAATAAACAGGTGGTGACCACATCATTCGCGTTTATGAATTTCAACTCAAAAATTATCAGCATCCCCCATAGAGCGATTTCACTAGCTCATTAGGCAGTTTCGTTAGTACTGTTCCTACTCTCTTAAGCTTTCCATTTCACAAATGTCGCGTCTTAATGTTCACCAACAACATCAGTACAACATGAGACTTAAAAAACGGGTCTCTGTGGCAAAAAACGGCTTGGAACAAGTCTTCTTTTTACCACCAAAGGCACATGATGGTAGACACGAAGGACATGGAAAAAAGAACTCATCTGGATGAGTTCGGAAAGCTTTGGCGAGTAGTTTTTTCTTGTCTGTCGTCACTCAACCGTACTGAAGCAGAAGATAACACTTTCATTTGCTTGGATGTGAAAGATTTTCCACGATTGCAGCCTAAGCTTAAAAACGAATCTGCTTTATCTTTCTTTTAGAATGTCAGAGGAATCGACTGGAGTGCAATCGATTTGAATAACACAGCTATAGCAAGTCTAGGATCAACCGCAAACGGCGTCGACAACATTTTCATTGGGCTGATACGACAACTCGGGCTACATTGAATGTGCTGCTAAAAATTTTTCTCGTGGCTTCGACTTTTCAAGGTTTTTTTCAACTTTTTAATTCAAAGTTCAATTTCATGGTTCTTTAAAGAACTATAAATCGCTGGAAGGTTCACAAAAAATTTCGCTCCAAGCACCCTGACAGGCGCGGCCACTCAGGCAAACAACGTCTCGGACAATTTGATATTGCTGCATGCACGAACATCAAAAATGGCTTCCAGACCAAGGTAAGATCAGTCAGTGTGACGTTACTGGACTGCATAAGAACTGTATATTGTACAATAATTTTTTCCTTTCAGCTCTCATCCACCGAGGTAGCATGTTTCCGCTCGTTTGCAATTAGTAAGCTGGCGTCTGTTGTCTTGATTGCTACTTTCATCTGTGGCATGTTCCATTTACCAATTTCCTATCCCGATTCTCGATTCCACTGAAGCCGAACTCGAGCCTTTAGGTTTTAACAAACTGGGCTTGAAATTCATCTTAAAGGCAAACATAGAATCGAGCGCTACAGAATGGAATTCGAAGCATTTTAGGAGAGGTTTGTATCAATGTACCTCGCCGACCCTTGTCGAAGGTCTAGATTTGTAATTTGACATATTCCATATTAGATGAAACTCGTTTTCAAAGTAACCCGAGTTATTTCAGCGGCAGGAAAAAGGCTGCCAAACATGAAAACTTTTCCAATGCTACAAAAACCATTTTAAAGTCTGTTTTGGGTTCAAAACTTTGGAAAATCCGCGGCAGATTCCCCATCTTAGTCCACTTCATCTCTCGAAAGCGTCACTTGCACTCGAACAAATTATGAGGGTACAAAGCAAAACTTCCTTACAACAACATGTGTAGGGTGAGAAGTTTAAGTAATTCGTTCGCTACATTAGTTTAAGACTATGGTCTGGAGGTTTGAACGTAAAATGTTTAGCCACATACATTTTACAATCTAGAATGCAATTAAACCAATGGACTCGTCCAGAGGAATAACTCACGAGGACACATATTCAGTAAAAAATTCCAAATGCGATGTGTTTTACAAGGTATTATTTCAACTCCAGATTTCCACAAACTTCAACGCTTGCAAAAATCTTGTTGAAAATCTCCTAAGGGAAAAACCTATCATTTTACTCAAGAGTGCTTATTTTCGTCTGGAGTGTGTTGTTTGATAATTTAACACTTTTTGCAAAAACGGATTTTAAAAAAAGAGGGGAATTTAAACAAAAACAAATCTAAAGATTATGATTTTCTTATCCAATTTAGTGACACTCAAAGTCCCAGAGTAGCAAGCCAGCCAGATGGACAAAGGAACCTTCCAAGGGTAAGTAAACAAGAAATTATCTTCTTTTGAATTGAGAGCCCCTGCAAAAAGCTTCACTTCGTTATAATCGGATGAAACAACAACCTGAGCGTGTCATTTTCCCCTAAGGATGCTTCACTCTAGGGGATGACACTTTTTTAGTCAATGTCTAATTCATATCACTTTTCTTCTATGGTCTCCCCAAATGTACAGTCACAGTCTTCTTCTGCATGCAGTTACGGCACTTTAAGGTAAGACACGTGCTAACACTACTAGAAAAATTCCAAAGCATGAGCAGTTTTAATCCTACTTTTATTATATTTTGATCCTTTGGGTGCATTCCTCTCTCAAGATATTAAAGCTATGAAAATCCCTCCTTTCGAAATCTTAATGGCAAACATTCCGTGTGATCTAAAAAGAGTTTCAGTATAGTTGCTGGGATAACTTTAGAATTTTCCTAGTGCTGTCTCCATCTTATATTTGAGTTTCCTCAAAATTATATTAGAGCCAAAATCTGTAATTTTAATGGACAGTATTCAAATATCTTATTCATTGAGGTCTATGTGAGTCAATTTTCTCTTTTTCACAGTGCAAGACGTTGGAAAGAGATGGAGAAAGAGATGGAGAAAGAGATGGAGAAAGAGATGGAGAAAGAGATGGAGTTGATAAGAACTCACATTATGACACAGGTATTAAATAACTTGATTTGTATGTAAGATATATACAAAAACGTGCTGATTCCATTCTAAATATGGGTCCCTAAAAAAAAAGCAGTACTTACGTTTTGGTGCATCTGAGCCCTACCTTTCTATACACATGAATCGATCTCAGTTATGATTATAAATTAAGGTTCAACTGTGATATAAAAACTGTGTATGACTGAGCTGGCACTTTTCATGGCAAGCTAAGAAACACAATAGACCAAGTGACTCACTTTAGCCGCTTATATTTTCATTCTCAGGTTGTCTGTTCATTTTCATAATAACACTTTCCTGTGCTTTACTTTGTCAGGGAAACGAGGTGGTACACACAAGACATAACATACCAAGAGAGGGGAATGAGTGAAATCGTTATTACACATATATCATGGACGGAAACTCCCTAATTGCTTCACAGTCAAGTTCACTGCAACTTACTGAAATATTTCCTTGAAACGTTTCTCTTTGAAAACTGTATATTTTTTGTTAATAATAATAAAGAGTTCACATACAAGAACATATATTGATCATTTAATTGAATCATGCATTTCAAATAAAATATTCAAAAGTTATTAGTACCTGTATTATACAGTTACACCAACAACATTTCACATCAATAATTACAGAAAGGTAATTCCATTATCACTGAAGATGCAAAACTTTATTCACCTTCTAGTATTTGACTTAGAAGCACCAACTGTGCCAATACAAATATTTCTCAACATGTATGATAAACGTGTCACGTGAAAGTCTGTATCCGGTGCAGGTTCATGTACGTATGTAAAACAGGATTATATCTCTCGCGCTCTGGATGGAAGAAAAACTCTCTTACTACAATTTCATGCGAGTTCATGCGAGTTACTTTGTTAACATCCTAAACAGTGGATAAAGTTTCTCTTTAAACGCTATTGTTAGAGCGATTTAAGAAAGTATCAAACAATCTATTATTTGAAGCACCCAAAAGTGAAGGAGAGATTAAGAGTATGACAGAGAAGAAAAAAAGAAAATCAATTTTTTTGTGGAAAATTCACGAACACTCGAACTCAAAACTGTCCTTATTAACCCGTTGGTAGACCTAGCATTTTGCTATTGATTGAATATCAAAAAACCTGTATTTGAGACGAATATTAAGGGAAATGAAGCTTAATCTTCAACCTAAGCCTTCTGAGCAAAACTCAAAACTGAACGTTATAAAACATACCTACAGCTGCCGCACTCTTTTCAAAGTCACAATTTAGCGGCGCGAAACCGTGATTACACTCTCTTTTAACAACCATTTCAAGACAAAGGATGTTCGTCGCGGTCGTTACATGTACGAAAGAAGATAACTTGCATGGCATATACATAACGTATCTTTTAGTGTTACATTCATGCATTCCCTTTCCCATCACAAATAACATAACCCGGCCAAATAAGCCTCAAATTTATCGCTGGAAAGGTACGCTTCGTAAGCATCTTTTTGTCGCCATATTTTTGCTTCAGCAATATTTTGAGACAGCGGCAAACACCCATGCAAAAAAACAACAGTATGTATTTCAACATTCAAATTTATGCGCGACAGTTGCGTGACAGCCAGACGACTATTCTGTACCAAACAAGAGACATTGAAATCCGGACATAAAACATTCCACTCCAAGAAAGAAAAGTCGTAAAAGCAGTAGCCTGAGACTGAACTGGCAAAGATAAGCTGAAGGATGAGGTTGCCTTTCTGCGCCTTCCGATGGCAATGCTTGTTTAAAATGCAAAATTCAATGTTACGAATGAAGCCAAGCGAAGTTAGTAGGTAAGGTGCTACGTTTAACGAATCATATGAAGACATTTGTCTATTTCAATCGTTTGGAGAAATCAAGCTTCAGCTTATGCGTGGTGGATACTGTTTCCTACGACTTTTCATCTTTGAATTGCGAATTTTTGTTATGCCATGTGCAGTTTCAACGATGAGTGTTAAACATCCCTGTTAAGGATTCGAAGACAAAGTTCAGGAAACATGACAATTTTCGTATCTACACAGTATCTGCAACCTTTACTAAGAGTGGATCACGTCCCTCAATCAATAGCAAATTCCGCTTATGTCACAGAAAGGTGCCTTCCCAAATATCTACCACAACACCTTAGGTGTGGATTAACTGCTACATCTTTTCCAAGGGAAGAAAAGGTAACAGAATTAGTCTAACACTGTACAAATCTTTTTCCATTTACACAATATCTTTGAAGACTTGTGTCAACACTTATAGAAAAATTTATTTCAAGAGCGCCACACGGCAGGCCAAATAGCCATCAAAGAGTTCCCACGGACAGCTAACAATAGAATCAAAACACATAACGGCGACGAACAACAGGCCTTTGAAGAAGCGTTAGACAACTGACATCCTACTTCAATTGTTTAGATGGAGCTTATTTCATAATCTTGTAAGCCAATCGTTCTTCGGGTAATAAATGGATTGTAAAGTATGCGAGTCACGTGGTGGCATGTGACTAATATTATGACTAATAAGCGCTGCATCTAGAAATTGGCGCACATGTGGTGTGATCGAAAGAGCAGATACCGACGAAAAGAGTTAAAGATTCTAAGTTACAGGAAAGTACCCTACAGGAAACTTTAAAAAGGTAATCAATAAATTTAATAACAGATCATCGCATTTGGAAAGTTTTGTGATTGATGTCCTTGTGTCCTCTTTATTAGTCTGAAATGCTTCTGTGCGCGAACAATTACAACAGGCGAAGGACACACTATACGCCCATTCTGTCCGACAAGTCGTGGAAGCGAGTCAAGGCATCAAAAATTAGTATAATGTAAAGAAGATTATACTTAAGGACGTATCTGCAACAAATTTTAGTCCATACAGAGTGGTTCAAATTCAAAATAGTACAATTTGCGCGACCATATGCACTGACAGGGTGAGTCGCAAAAACATGTTTGGGTTGTAGTACTCGATAAGAATTTTATTGCATAAACACGTAACAGAGACTTGTAACTCTGTATGTTCCTTAGGCTATAACACCAAGATTACTTCACTTAGGGTGTGACGCCTACAATTAGTTCCATTGAGAAAGATAACTAAGATTTGCCATTTGCTTTTTGCCAGAAACAATCAATAAATAGCACCTTCCCACATACTACATGCATGCACTGTCAATTAAAAATTGTGGTAGCCAGAGTGCTTTCTCAGCAGGTTTTCAAAACTTGTACGATTTTAAACGAGTCACTGTTGTCCCTAAGGACTATATTAGACAACATAACTTTTAAATAAGGCTTTATTGGAAACAATAAGTCCACCAGGCGCTAAGATTATAATTTCGACAGATCAGTGTTTCACCATGCGTGATTTCAATGTTACTTCGACAGCACAGCATGCCGACGAGTTAACACAGCGTGGTAAAGCATGTGCAAAGAGTGATAAACAGCGAAATTTCACAAAGCTTTGACTTTGTAGAATTATTCATAAAACCGTGATATGGACGGCCGGAAATTTTGTCCTTAAATTTTGACACTCGAAACCTGGACCCTCTCTCTCCGTCTTTCTTCCCTCTCATTATCGAGCTGAAATTTACCATAATTCGCGACATTGTTGATCCTAGTAGTATGCAGGACATTTTTCAGAAATTAACCTACTGAGTTTTGAAACGAAATTTCGCTTGCCTTCACAAATTTAAAGCCAAGAACAAAGACTTATTTATCGGCAGAGGTGATGTCAAAGACGACCACTCCAATTTAATCCATGATACTGTTATTTATATTGGACGAATCAAATGTGTACTTCTTAGCAAAGGTACCGACAAAGTTCTGTTAGCACAGTCTCCGGCATCAATTCAACTTTCGCTCATTAAATAAGTATTCCAACGTTTTCGTTTCAGACTCATGGAGCAAAAAGATAGAGAGGTAGGTATTCAAATAAACCTGTATTTCAAGGGCTCGACACCAACATATGTATTTGATAACTTTTCTTGATGTTATTACAAATTTCCTTTTGCCACTGTTTTCTAATTAGAGCATTCTCTCCCTGATAGAATGCGTCTTATCTGTATTCAGAGAAAGGAAGGCCAGTCAGAGAAGAAACAGGTCCAAGTGGACGTCACAGTCCAATAGGGTAAGAGATATCATTTGTCGCAACAAAAGCTTCATCTGATTACAAATTTGAACTACATTTCACCCTGAAATCTACTAGTTCATTTGCATTCGTAGCAAAACAAAATGTAACTTAGGAAGAAGAAAATTCCAACAATTCCAAATTTTTATTACCTCCACAAAAAGATGCTGCTTATATTTTCAGTCGCAGGTTGTCTGTTCACCTTCACAATCACACTTTCTTAGCTTTACTTTGTCCGGGAAACGTGGTGGTACACATAAGACATAACATACCAAGAGAGGGGAATGAGTGAAAGAGAGGAAACTCCCTAATTGCTTTACAGTCAAGTTCACTGCAACTTACTGAAATATTTCCTTGAAACGTTTCTCTTTGAAAACTGTATATTTTGTGTTAAAAATAATAAAGAGTTCATATACAAGTACATATGATATACATATACATAACTCTATCATGCATTTCAAATAAAATATTCAAAAGTTATTAGTACCTGTATAATACAGTTACACCAACAACACTTCACATCAATAATTACAGAAAGGTAATTCCATCATCAATAAAAATGCAAAGCTTTATTCACCTTCTAGTATTTAACTTAAAAGTACCAACTGTGCCAATACAAATATTTCTTAACATGTAAGATAAACGTGTCACGTGAAAGTCTGTATCCGGTGCGGGTACATGTGAGTATGCAAAACAGGATTATATCTCTCGCACTCTCGATGGAAGCAAAACTTTCTTCATACAATTTCATGCAAGTTCATGCGAGTTACTTTGTTAGCATCCCAAAAAGTGGATAAAGTTTCTCTCTAAACGCTATTGTAAGAGCAATTTAAGAAAGTATCAAACAATCCATTATTTGAAGCACCCAAAAGTGAAGGAGAGACCAAGAATAAGACAAAGAAGAAAAAAAGGAAATTCATTTTTCAGGAAAATTCACGAATGCTCGAACTCAAAACTGTAGTTAGTAAACCATTCGCAGGCCTAGCATCTTGCTATTAATTGAATATCAAAAAAACAAAAATGAGGCTCAATCTTCAACCTTAGCCTTCTGAACCAAACTCAACACTGAAGAACGTTATGACGCATACGTACAGCTGCCGTACTCTTTTCAAAGTCACAATTTAGCAGCGCGAAACCGTGATTACACTCTCCTTGAACAGCCACCTCAAGACAAAAGGTGTTGGTCGCGGTCGTTACATGTACTAAAGAAGATAAATTGCATAGCATATACATACTGTTTCTTTTAGTGTTACATTCATGTATTCCCTTTCCCATCACAAATAACATAACTAAGCAAAGACTTGGCAATGTCTCGGC